CCCCCAGACAACACAACAACAGCCAGGCAGGGCGTGCGGGCTCCGCGCCGACCGCCAAATAACACCTCCCTCAGCGGCCACCGTCGCCACAAAGAGACAAGTAGCGGATAATAAAACGTTTAAAGAGCCGCGAGTGAAAGCTGCTCGAAAACCGACTGCTTACCTCTCTATTTAAGAGTTTTGTGGATTATTATTTCTTGTCGCACTTCCAATTTTTTCTCAGTTTACAAACACTGACAGGAAACGCCACCGGAAGTGCTCACCGGGGAGGGCGGTGATTGGTCAGACGCCGTGTCACGTGGCCGAAGCAGAGTGACCCACATTTGCGGCCATAATTGTGAGGGAGCGAGCTGTGTGTGGAGCACTGAGTTGGTTCAATGATCGACAGAAAGTTAATCGACAACTGTTTTTAAAAACCGATTGAACATTTCAGTCACTTTCTAAGGAAAACTTCCAGACATCATGGTTCCTAGTTCTCAAATGTGAGAATGTGTTGCTTTCCCTGTTTTACATTAAAGTTAATTGACCAACTGGGAATTGTGATGGGCATTGTTTTGATGTTTTATAGAATAACCTGTAAATTATTTATTGTCATTCTTTAAATACAGTTTTTTAGAAATGTAAATATCACTCATATACTTAAGGCATGCCGATGCTGCTGTTGTTGTTTTATATCTAAAGCTATATATATTTCTACACATATATATCTGTACATAGTAGTTTAAAGTTATTGTTTCCCTTGTCGAGCTTGCTTTCCTTTTATTTTTTGCTGTGTATATGACTATTTGTGTGTGTGTACATTGAGAGCAACGCAAAACTGGAGTTATATTCCTTGTATGTGTGCACAAACCTGGCCAATGAAAGTGATTCTGATTCTAAAGATGAATGAAAATAATTTCAGCCCTAGAGTTATGGAAGCAAATAAGGGGGGGTCAGCAGGTAGATATAACGTCTGAATGGATGGGGGGGTCAGAAACCTTCCATTCAGAAGCTTTATAATGTATGAAAGTAAAATATAAGGATAAATCCCCCACAATCAATCCATTTTTTCAGCTCCACAAAAGTGGTTTCAAAAACATGCCCGGAGAACAGATTTCAGAACAGTTGTTTAATTCACTGGAACTGTTTGAAAACCATTTGAAATACAGGCCATTGTTTATTTATTAATTAATCCAGTTATTCATATTTTGGTCCAAGGTCCTCAGAGGAGTTTAGTGTCTATCCTACTATTGTGACAGCTGTCTAAATCAAGCAAATCACATCTGTCAACTGACATAGCAGGATTGTTGAAATTTGTGACATTACAATGGCAGACTTTGTGCACAACCTAGAATTGTAGATAGACAAGAGGTACACATCTTATTAGTTGTGTTTTTCTTCACAAATCGTTCCCCAGTCTTTCAATTTCATCAAGGAAGAAGTCCATATCTTTCTGGGAAACCAGCGGAGAGAAGACAATCACACGGAAAAAGTTGACATTGTTTCCCAAAGGTTGGTAGCCCACCATCATAGTCCCTTGTTTCATCATGCGTTCCTTGATGACTGGCGCTACCTGTTAACAAGAAGAAAAAAAAACACACACACAGAGAGTTAACTTCAGGTGGTGCACAGAAGTGGTAAAAACAAAGCATGCACACAAATAATTAAGAGGTTGAATCGGAGTGCTTAATGTGTGTGCGCAACGGAAGGAAGGCATTACAAATCTCAGTTACACTTTTGTCTGCATGTTTCCAGTCCACTGATGTAATACAGAAACTTACTTTTGCCAGCCTGTCCTGGTAATCTGCATTTCCTTCCTTCCCCCTCATACTGGGTGGTATAAACCAGAAGCATACATTCACATACTCTGGCTGTTCATGGAGACAAATACAGACAAGTAAGCAACCATTTATCAGGGGAAAAACTCATCTTTTTCAATATGCTTAAGATGTTACTTACATCACGCAAAAGACGAAACCCTTCTCTTTTCTTCATCTGCTCCACCAGATACCTGCAGGAGAGTTGTTAAGTTTTCACTTTCTGCTGGCCTGGATCATAACTCAGCTATAGCTTTTGTTTAAAAATGTAACATAAGTAAATTAAGATTTTAATGATGCTGCTGTATTAGATACGTTTCATTGGTAAGCTTAGATGAAAAAATTAGACGTATCTTAACCTGCTGAGCAAGATCTACCCAAATATTCCTTCTTCCTTGATGCTTACATTCAGAAAAATAAATTACCAACTCACTGATGCATGGGTACATTACTTTGACATTCAAAAACTGAAATAGATAAATAGATGTGCTTTTAAATTATTCATCTGAAAGTTATTCATCATAAAGTTGTGTTTCTAAATTATTCATCTTAAAGTTGAGATTCTGAATTTATGTGTTGTGCTGCAGCTTGCATGCATTCTTTACCTTACAAGGAAAAAAGCTTTGTCTACACGCTCTGCCAAGCCAGTGGAGCCAACAGCTTTCCACATCAACCACAACTTCAGGCAGTCAACCTTGCGACTGCACTGCACTGACTTATCCCCGACATCCAGATTCACATCGTAGAATTTGTCCTGCTGGAACAGGTATGTGGCGTTGGCACTGTGGCACTGCTTCAACAAATTCTGAGGACAAGCAGAAATGAATGATTGACAAAACTTTGAAAAAAGGAAGAAATTACTTTTTTAAAAACACAATTATCAGATAATTCTAAAGCCTCAAACTGTGAAGCCTAACCGTGGTATCCTGTAGCAGCAAGGCAGAACACTGCAGGCCGGCTATCAGCATCTTGTGTGGATTCCAGGCTACTGAATTTGCTCTTGTTACACACACACAAAGACAAATTAAAACACAAACACAGAACAACAACTATATCTGCCCAACTGTGTAGCTCTACTTGTGTACTCTACAGGCAAAATGTCGGCCTCCTCATAATGAAAAATGCATTTTCCAGCATGCATATTAATACCTGTCAACCCCTTTCATCAGATGTCTGTGTTGTTTGGAAAAGAGCACACTCCCTCCCCAGGCAGCCTGAAAAACAAGACAAAACTGACAAAACTCAGCATGTTCCTAAATTTTAACAAATACAACAGAAGCTTCACAAAACCAAAGCTTGTCAACAGAAATGGATTTGTCTTCCACAGGAGGACTCACGTCTACATGCATCCAGAGTTTGTGCTTCTCGCAGACATCAGCTATACGGTCCAGTGGGTCAAACGCACCCTGCACTGTGGTCCCTGATGTGCAGCTTACAAGGAATGGCACTGCACCCTGGTAGAAGCAAACTGAAAGTGAATGCAGTTTTCTTGCATTTTCTGGTTTTCATGGTGATATCTCGTGGATAATCATTGTCAAAACCAATACAGGTGACCCTAAAACCACAACATGTTATGTCCGAGGACTTGTTAAATGTTAGTCAATTTACCTGTGATTTTGCCACATTTATCTTTGTATCCAGGTCCTCTGGAATCATGTGGCCACTGAAGCATTTAACAGAGCATAGAAGGAAAAAAAACAACCTTAGATTCATAATAAATAGGGCTGCAACAACCAATTATATTCACTATAGATGAATCCCTCAATATTTAGTTTGACTGGAATAATACCCTAGAATATTCCCAGAGGCCAAGGCTGACATCTTTTAAATTGTAAATTGAAGAACTAATTTGTTAATCAATCGCTTCAGCTCTTATAATGAACAATACATTACCCATCATCCACTTTCACCAAGATGACATTGTCTGTCCCAATCCCCAGAAAAGCAGCCCCTTTCTTCACAGAGTAATGGCTCTGGAAAAACATGAAGATTAGAATGCATCTTTCAATCATATTTATGTAGAGACAACACATAAAGCCCAGAGTGGCCACAATAAACACCTCTAATACACTTTCAGTTGCTACAGTGTCATCAATCCTTCCGACATGCAGTGTTTAACAAACATTCCTGACCTCTGGAGACGTAAAGATGGTAAGTCGTGGGAGACTCCACACCCCCTGGCTTTTGACTTCTGGGAAGAGTCGGTAGCGTGCGAGGTTCATGGCGTACATGTTAGATGTAGACCCCCCAGGGCAGAAAATACCATCACCTTCTGTCCAGCCAACCAGCTGCCGGAGCCCTCTCAGTACCTCAGTCTCCATCAGCACAAACACCGGGGCCACCTCATAGGTGAAGCTATTTTAAATACATTCAAATACAACCAACTTAAATAAACACCTGTCTGACACCAGTAGTGCAAAGTAATTAAGTACATTTTGTCAAACACAGTACTTAAGGATGATTTTGAAGTACAGCTATAGTGACTTGTGGCAATCCAAATTCTGATTGCATGTACAAAACATATGATCATATAATCGAATGATGCATTGTTATAGCTTAAACAAGCCAGCAGTATATGAAACACTTAAAGGACCAGTGTGTAGGATTTAATGGTGTCATAAATGCATAAATAATGGTGGATAAACTATGGGGGCCGTAAAGTCAGTGTTTGGTTAGTCTGTTCTGCCTAACATCTTCTTTTACTTTTGATCATTTCACTGCATTTAGTCTCTTCTTTACTTTTACTCACTAAACTTTTGAATGCAGGACCTTTAAAAACACATCACACTATTACCTTATTTCAGTCAGACAGCTCTCGATTGAAATGTTTATTACAGCAGTATAGCATATTTAGATTTTGGCGTCTAGGCTCCGACCTCATCATTCCCCGCAGATATGTTTACATAGAGATATTGGGGAGTGATGAACTTACTTAAATACCTTAACCACCCCTGCAGAGCCTACAGGTGGATGCTGGGTAGTGATGGGGCTTACAGCGCAGCAGGCAGCAATACAGAGGGAGAACTGGGAAATTGTGCAGTTTAAATACACCGCCAGATTGGAAGGGTGCGCTTGGTTACTGATTGTGGAATAAGGCATGTCATGTGTGTATGTCAGAGTTGACTGCCTGAACTAGCTCGCAGGCTTCGCTCCATTTGTTGCATTATTTGCATCAGGCCTATAATTTACAGACTTATTCGTCCATCGCTTGTACACTTATGTGCTTCCATGCTTTAGTTACTATGTGGATTCTTACAGGTTAGTGTTGAGAGTCTCCGTGAGAAATCTTCCAGCCAAGGCATGATAGTCCACCCCACCGAACTGCTGATTAAAAAAACGTGGGTGACCTGAAATGAACAAGAAAAGTCTCATCATGAAAGATTATTTAATATTTTTTTAACACATTAGATATCTCAACTAGTCTATAACGTGTCTTACTTGTCTTGATGCTGTACTTGGCGACATCTTTTACTCTCTGTAGGAGTCTCTGTTGCGGCTCCCCTGTCGCCCTCAGCTGCAGATCCAGCAGCTGAGCCAGCTCCTCCGGCTCTTTCCACTCACAAACCTACAGGAGCATGCATCATCAGGGCATTTGTTCAGACTACTCACTGCAATCTGACAGAGTGGCGATGTTAAGCTTTTATGAGAGACCTTTTGTTTGACGTCTGTGCCCTTGCAGAGCACCTCCTCCATCATAATTTTGAAGGCTTCGTTCAAGAAGAGTTGTCCCTCTGAGTGATCAATAAGAGGCTCACCCAGGTCACGGGGATTAGCTGGTTCCCTTACCTGCCCATCTGCTGTTGTTGTAAAGGCATAAACAAACATTTTCAGTCAAGAATTAGACAAGAAAAGACCCATCTAGCACACTGTACTTACATGGGAACGGGAGCATGTTTGCCATATCCACGCTGCTGAAAAGCTCTTTCTTTAGCTGCGCTGGCAAGACAGACAGCAGCAAGTGGCTACAAAGAGGCAGAGTGAGGCAGGAGTGGGAGGGGGGCAACCTTTGTCCCAGACTTATAAGTTAATTAATGTTGTCTGAGATGAAGAAAAACAACAGGAGAAATAACAGAGAATATAATAACTTTTCATTTATGAATTTCTGTCACAAACGGTAAAGTTAATAGGGTTTTTTTTCCCTTCACACATTCATTTCTCTCAAGAATGAAACGAAGTATAATGCATTTCATTAAATGTTTTTTTTTTTTTTAAATGGATCTCAACATGTTTAAACAGTATTTTCAAGAGTATCAGATTAATGAGACTGCTATAGAGGTTTTCAGAGAGGAAAATATTGGAGGCAGAAACGGATTTAATGATTTATTCAGTGTGTTGTCTAACCTGTCTGCAGACTGTAACAGATGTCTTGTGACACACCATGATGTAAGGTACATTTAATCTAAAAGACCAAGATATGTACATAAGTCAACAGGGAACATGTCAGTGTAACTGCTGTGTCTCCTAATCATTTGCACATTTACGTGACAAACTGAACATTTCTGAAATGTTGAGTTGAGCGAAATATAAGACAAAACACAAGAATAATCTTCCCTATTTAATTCCATAGTGTATTGACATTAGAATTAAATGGGCACTGCTCTGTTGTTTTCCTGATTCTTCTTCACACAATCTATAAAAAAGACCTCTTTCAAAAAACATAAAAAATAAATAATTATAAAAAGCTGCAGTATCATAGAAAAGTATGATAAGAGACCTCTTGCTCAATGGTACTAAATGGTACTGTGGGGAAATTCCATAAAGTAGTAAAGTCTTCAAGGGTTATATAGATATGGAATGACAGCATTTATGATGAGAAAGACACATATTTCCTTCCTTCAAAAAGGGTTTCAGTCTCAGCAGGTAGCAGACAGTGGAGGCCTCAGTCAGTCTCCAACAGGAAGTCAATGCTTTCAGGTGGCAGGGCCCAGTCTTCCTGGCTGAGCAGGGAGTGCAGGTGAGCAGCTGTGGCCTTTTCCCTCTGGCAGGTACGCCAGTAGCGCAGCATGGCAAACACTCGCTCCACGTGGGGCGAATTGTCCTCTTCAATCTGTTCCAGCTTAAAAGAGGGGACATCCAGAGCCATTCTGCCAATCTCCCTCCAAGATTTGCCGATTTTACGAGCCACGGTCATCAGCTGCTTCTCCTTCACTAAGCCAGAGCCTGCGTATTGAGACAGAGGCAAATAAAGACAGTGATTATCTCTACAATGTTTTAAGGGGAATAGCTTTGAGTGTAGTGTGACCCACCGTTGTTGCAGATCTGTTTGGATGGAATGGTCGCTTCCAAATCTGGAGCTGCTTTTCTCTTTCTTGGTGTTTCTTTTTTGTAAATAGAGAAAATGTTTGTATTTCACATAGAAAATCTAACAGTACTTCATAATGAGATTGCCGACAAACAATACTGAGCAGACTTTCTTCTACCTGAAGACAGTGTGTTGGCTTGCAGATCCTTAATAAAGCTCAGCATTGGGAAGGTTTCCTGCAGGGCCTGGTCATTCAGTAGTTTCAACAGACCCTGTGCTGCTTCAGGTCCTCTCTGCATGACATGATCCAGCAGCTCAGTCACCTTCTCACTAGGAGCACGGCAAGCTTTCACGTGCTGGTAGCCGGGAAGAGACAACAGACTGCGAGAGTCTGCATGCTGCAGGACGTAGTCGGCATCGGCACTTAGGATCTCTATTAGCTTGGCCTTCTGGCTTCTGAGTAACTGGAGTTCTGCTGCTGGTTCCTCAGCCATGACCGACTTAAATCAGCTCCTGAGAAAATAAAGTGACGATGATCAAATCTGAAATCATTTCAAAACCAATATATTGAATAGATTGTGCAGGTTCAACATAGTCACTTATGTTCCATGTATATTCTTACAGGGAGGTCACAGTTTACTTTAAGCAGTGGGACTTTTACTGTCTTTGATTACAGGATAATATATAATAATACTCTCACATTTATTTGAGGTACAATGTCTAAGGCCACTATAGCGAGTCCCTCCAGTGATTTGTTAATAAACAATGAAGAAGTCAATTGTTAACAGAAATACAATCAGCAATGTCTGGCTAAGATGGGCGTATACGGACGATATTAAGGGACAAACTTAATTCAACACTACATGTGTGTTATTTTAAAAGAATATGTTTTACATTATGAAACTTACATGACAACAATGTGTGTGTTTATGTGTGGACTTCCTGTAGTCTGTCTGCACTCAGCATGCACTGTCGTCCACACACTCACATACTCACACAAAGTACGTATGTATGTTATGTAACAAACAACATGTATTCCCATACGACTCTTACCATTTACTCTAACATCTAAAGTAATAGAAAAAAAACCAAAATAAAAACATTTCCTATGTTTACATTGTTTTGGTCACAGGCGTCAGACTCTCCCACTTCTTTGCCGCTGTTTTTTCTTCTTTACTACAGCCTGAAATATTTGTCACATCCATCACTTTATTTCTGTGTGCTTCCATCCACTGGATGGAGGATATAACTGCAGCTCTCTGCCATGGCTGTGAGGATTTGGTGACATCTGGTGGAATTGATAAACCTGGCTTAGTATTCGAGATCTTTTATTTATAAATACAAATAAAAAATAAATAAGACTAGATTAAATAAGGAAAGACAAGATTAGATAAAATAAGACTTTATTGTTTCCCGAAGGGAAATTCACATGTTACAGCAGCACAGAGACAGGTTGAAAGGTAAGAAAACAGATAAAGAACTACTTGAATAAAATAAATAAGAAAATAAGAGATAATATAAATAAATATAGGTACAGGGATGAATAATATAGTGGAAGAATAATATTAGAATAATATTATGTATTAAAACTCTATATAGTAAAAATACAATATTATGAAGTATATATAATAGAAACTGAAGATATTATGACATAGCATAGGAGCAATATAATATTTTATATGTATATAATATACTGACCATATCTATCTATCTATCTATCTACTCTATTACTCTATCTATCTATCATACTATTATCTATCCGTACTTATCCTACCTGCTATCTATCTAATCTATCTATCTATCTAATGGTTTGTGTAATGTTGTTTCACTGAAATGAACTCAAATTCCTTAAGTAGGAGACAAACACTCACTGTTGTTGTTGTTGTTACTCATTTAAATTGTTAAATAAACTACATGTCTTCTCCGCCTGGGCACGCGTCCTCAAAACAAGATGCTTAAACATTCATGTTGACGGAGGGAAATGTGTTGCTGTTCATACTGTGGAAGTGGAATGCTGTAAACATGGGAATAAATGTTTGATTGTTTTGTTTGAGTCGGAAAGGATTCACTGCATGAATACCAAATAGAAATGCGTGTGTGTGTGTGTGTGTGTGTGTGTGTGTTTACAGGTACATGCAAGGCAATGTGGATGATCTGGTATACAGTGTGTGAGTTTAGTGTATCATTTTGGACAAGAGGCCTCTGACTGTTACCGGACAACAATTATCAGTGACCACTGGTCACACTTCTGCTTAGCCTGTTTACTCAGCTTCAGCTCTGGGAAATGACAAATCAATATCTTATTCCTGTACAGATATTTGCTTTGTGTGAGAGGAAAAGCCTCTCGAGCCTATTTCATCCACACACAGTATACACTCTGAGTCACTGTGTGTATTAGCTGTCTGTATAAATCCAGTTTTCCCTATGCCTACAGTGGGTGGAAAGAGAAACGTTATTTATTCTTATTATTTATTCTTACCACCCAGGTGAGACTGCTGTATAAGAGAGGAATGCACAATTCATCCATCTTTATGTACCTCTAAAAACTTTATTATTCTATAAATTTGCATTATGTTCAGACTTGAGAAGATACATTGTGAGGACTTATACAAAGCTGAAATGCATTGATCCACTAATCTAAGAAAATATACATGTTAACACTCTGGGTAGCTTTCATCTCCAAATGCTGTATAATGTGCCTGTGAAATGTGCACTTAGTCATTTTGCATTCAACCACTGCAACACAAGTGGAGCATATTCTGTATGGAATATGAAAATGAACTTACTTTGCCACTGATCGAGCACGATCCCACTCATACCCTTGTGTTTTTCAGGCTCCATCGCGCTCTCTGTCAAGTGGTAAGCTCCATTTGTATGTGCATGCTAGTGGTGGATGGTATAATAGCTCGGACGCTGCACACTGCTGATGTAGAATAATGCAGTTTCCTTATGAGTGGCTCTGGCTCTATTCTACAGAACTCTGCACCTGGAAAATTGGGATTTTGTAGATGAGGGTGTGTGCATGTGTGTGTGTTTATTTATGCATGTATACAATTCAAGAGTGAGCCAGCACAGCAGCTTATCCCCTCCATGCCTTAAGAGGTAAATTAGATTTGCATGTAAAGTAACAGACAAGGGATGTCGCTCTTACTGTCTTTAGCACTCTGAACCACAAAGGACAAAATTGACTTTGGTCTACATTTGTATGGATCAAACATTGCTTTGTACATGCTTTCACAATACACGAGTTGGGACTTTTATGTGTATACAAAGACACAAACATGAACATAACCACAACTCCTTTACAAGATGTGGTAAAATCCTTGATAAAAGAGACAAGTTTCCTTTGAATAAGCAAACACCTTTACAAACACCATGCTCCTTTGTTACATTCCCTTAAAAGTTAAACTTGGGCCTGCAGTGATTCTGCATAAACACCCCACTCTATTTTTATAACTCTGGTATAGGAGCAACATGGATTCCCCCCCCCCCCCCCCCNNGTAGAATGTACAGTTTGTATTCACTGTAGCTGACTCTGGCGCAGCTGGGCCTGGACTGCACACGGGGGCCTTTGAGATGTGACCTCCCACTCAGGGTGGATGGAGCTGCAGCGAGGGGACAGCCATGCATTTGAGTGACTCTGACATGTCTGTTTGTTTAACATGCATTATATATGAAAGACCAGAGAGGGAGGAAAGAGCATGGGAGCAGGGCAGCAGAACCGAGAGAGGGAGACCCCACTGAAGAGATAGACAGTGAGAAGAAGAGGTCAAAGGAAAGGCAGCCTATTGCACCGTAAGGTGGACCATTTTCTGTAGGAGGAAGCTTTAAAGGCCCCATATATTGGTATTATGAAGGAAGTATAGAACAAAAGTGCCAGAAATGTAGCAAAAAGGCCAGAAAAGAGATTTCGGTAAAGCTCAACCCCAGACAAATGCCAAGTGAGATATTACTTACCCTTACGTTTTTATAGGAAAGAAGGGTGTAATGTGGTATAGGATGACCATCCATCATCATTCAGTATGTCATATACTGTACATTTTTGCAAATCAAATATATATGAAGCTGTTGTTCATTATGGGAACAGTTTGCCGAGGACTTATAGGCTGAGCCTGTAATGTAACTGACGGGTCCATTAACGCTGATAGAAGTGTAAATAATTTAAGTATGCGTGCGTGTGCGTGTGCTCCTCAGCACCCCTACTTTAGAGAGGATACTGAAGAATGGCAAACACAAAGGCCTTTTTCTTCCTTTAAGTCTAATGAATGGAAAAGACAGTGAGTCTGACTGACAGACACATTCTCAGACTGCATTAGAGCCACAGAGAGAGCTGCTGGAGAGTGTGTGTGTGTGTGTGTGTGTGTGTGTGTGTGTGCTTTGGTGGGTGTGAGATCATCACAGTTGAAATTACTGGACCCAGGAAAAGACAGATGTCGGCTGATGTCAGTCACAAGTCAGTGTTATGTCGAATACATTTTATTTATTTGGCCCAATATCCCAAATTTGCCTTACGGGGGTTTACAATCTGTACAGCATATGATACTCTCTATCCGTAGACCCGTGAGACCTTGTTTACAGGATTCATCAAGCCAAATACCTGTAGCAGGGGAAATCTGCATCATCACATCAAAGACAAAGTGAACGAAAGAGGGGAGAGAGCAACTTGGTATGTGTGTCTACCATAGCATGAGTTGACCTCTAGAGGGAGCTCTTACCATTCTAAAGTATCATTTGAAAGCTTTCAGCTAGGTCCCTCACTCAGCTCTTCATTTAAAAGCATACCTTTGGTATAATTTCAGCCATTAGGCTCAGACAGAGACGTCGTTGGGTTGAGGGACACAAGTTCTCTCTGGCAAAAGAGGGCGAGCCAGGTTTCCTGAGCTCCCAAAATAAATCTGTCATCAAAATGGACCCACACTCTGCTGGCTTTGGGTATTGGCCTTGACTGCCCTAAACTCAGTGACCTCTGTGTAAGAATGGGAGTGACTCTGTGGTGTTTTCTGAGGACATCACACCTAACATATTGATCCACTGTTACCCACTGTGACACTGACTGAACATCTACTAATGCATGTAGGCCCCTTGTGGATTTACAGCAACAGCAATATTGCCAACACTGAAGTGGTTTAAACTTACATGGGAAAAACCGACCAGAATGCCTTTCCACTGCTGAATCTTCTGTTTCTGATGAGATGTTTTAATAAAGAACTGTTAAATGGGGACTTTGGGGGACTCCTTCCTACCACATCCAGTCTTTCTCTGTTGTTTCCTGTCAGGTTCTCGGCTCATTTTGTCACACACATGAATCTGTAATCCATATTGCATATTGAGAATGGTTGTTAGGCATGTAAAATGCTTAATGTTAGTTAAGAACACTTTTTTATCTGTGAGAAGGAACATTCTCAAGATGTGCTTTCTGTGTTCAAAAGATTGTGAGTCGTGTGTCTCACAAAGTAGGAGAGCCTAGTTAATCCAAGTTCGGATAACAGTGCAGGCTTCTTGTGCTTATATTTGGCAGTCTTAGAAATATCCGTAAATTGGTAATGAGAGGTTTGCAGATGCACATGCTACTGATCTGTCTGCAGTTACTGTATTGCACACAGTCATCATATTTTGAGAATGCACTGCTACCTGCCAATGTCCCTATTAAGCTCCATAGTACTGGACTGGAAATATAACAAACTACACAAGTGTTGGTGGTTGTACTATCTATTTGGTGGTTACTTTAAGTATGAACATAAATGAAAAGGATTGTGTGTGTGTGTGTGTGTGTGTGTGTGTACTGAATTTACCTGCATACTTGCAGCACACTGATTCATTCTTTAAAACCCCTAAATTGTGGAAACAGCCCAATGTTTAATGTTTTTGAGTCAAAATCGCAAAGACACAAGGCAAACTAAACATATTGTCAACCTAGAGCAGGGGTCATTGAATTGTTGGTTGAACAGGATTTCAAATCTGTTGGATAATGAATCTGAGGGTGGGAGTTGCCAAATCGGTGTCCAGGTCCCCTACATCATGTCAGAAACAAAAAGACAAAAGACCATAGACCTCTATTAAAGTTAACAAGATAAAAGTACAAAAAGTACAAGTACAAACATCCATCGGGGTGCCGAATTAGGGGAAGCATGACAAATTCATTATTCCACTGTGTTCAAGGTATGAATCCAA